CAATAGCAAATGTAATCTTAGGCTCAAGTGCCTTGTTTAATTTGGCCTTGAGGTGTCTAACCTCACCTTGCCAAATATGACAAGTGCCACACCCGAAGTTGAAAGGGTTTCTATCGTCCTTACAATCCGATTCATTGCCTTTCACAATGGAAGCCTTTAGGTCCTCTAATTTCTTTTCGGACTCTTTAACCTTATGCTCTAAATACGTAAAGATTTTCTTATTAGAAGCAAGTTTCTTGAAGGCTTCAACTGCTTCATTATGTAAGGCATGAAATGCGGCTAGTAATTCTGAATGTGACATATTTGATGACTTATCATATTTAGAGTTACGTACCTGTTTTTTCTTATTTTTCTGATTGTCGGAGAGGCATAGATTCACGGACTCTTCTTCATCACTAGAACTTTCATCAGAGGAGGAAGAGTCGCTGTCACTTTCCCATGCTATGTACGCTCTCCTCGGCTTTGATGATTTCTTGTGTGATTTTGATGATTCCTTGTCCTTTCCCTTTTTATTCATTGGACAGTCCGGTTTGTAGTGACCAGGCTTTCCACACTTGTAGCACGTCCCTCTAGTCTTTTTACCTTTCGAGTCATCATCCTTGGAGTGTCTTGATTGTTTCCGGAAGTTTACCAAGTTCTTCTCGGAATGTTGTATGTCGTTCTTCCTTACGTAACGGTTATACCGTTTAACAAACAACCCCATATCTTCGCTTGTGTCTTCTTCTTCTTCGTCGCTCGAGGAATAATCATTTTGCTCTTTTGCTTGAGACTTCGAGGAGGAAGTCTTGAGAGCTATCGATTTCTTTTCACTCACCTTCGCTTTGTCTTTCTTTTCCATCTTTTCACGTTGGTCTAAGCTCAAGAGTACCTGTTCATGCTCTTGCAATTTGCCAAACAATGTTGTCAAGTCTAATGTGGTAAGATCATTTGCCTCTTTGATGGCGGTCACTTTTGGCTGCCATTCCCTGTTAAGACATCTCAAGACTTTATTAGTAGCAACATCATTGGAAATAGGCCTACCTAATGAATGTAAGCGATTGATGAGATGAGTAAATCTCTTTTGCATGTCGGCAATGGTTTCCCCTTGCTCCATGAAAAAGAGATCAAACTCTTGTATTAGAGTGTTGATTCTAGCTAACTTAACATCGGTTGTCCCCTCATGGGCTATTTGTAGTGAATCCCACATGGCCTTAGCAGTAGGACAATGGGATACACGGTAATATTCATCTACACCTAATGAGGAGATTAAGATGTTTTTAGCTTTCCAATCATAATTGTATTTTTTCTCATCGTCATCGGTCCATTGTGCTTCAGGCTTTGGCACAACTACATTATCCGCATTGGTCATAGTAATTTCTATTGGACCATTAAGGATAACGTTCCATATTTTTCTGTCTATGGAGTTTATATGCACACGCATACAGTCTTTCCAATAACTATAATTTTCACCGTTGAAAACATGAGCCCTATTATACGCCCCTTTAGGTTCGTTTGCCATTTTCTATCTCGTTGTATTTGAAGCACCGAATAACCAGGCTCTGATACCACTTGTTAGACTATGGCACGGATCTAGAAGGGGGGGCTGAATAGATCCCCAATTAAAATTTGAGTCGGCGCTACCAATTTGAAATTGGTTTTAAAAATGTTTTAAGTGCGGAAGCGGCCGAGGAAAAATATAGTCTAAAACGAACGGTTATTGGAAAACCGGATATACGTAAGCCTATGGATTTATGACAATTCGGAAAAATAAAATCACAACACTAACTATGCTTATCAATTATTTACTTCAATTTGCAAGGTCACCTAGTTCCAATGATTAACTAGACACACAAAAACTAGAAGCAAAATAAGACAATTTTAGTTCAGGACTTTTGTCGAACAGTTTGTGTGCACAAATACCTCAAAGGATATTTATGTTGAGTAAGAGATTGGAAATGCCCTAGTACAATAATTTTATTGTACTTAGTAGTTAAAAAACAGAGTTTCAACACCTTACTCAATTTGTATCACAGGTTGACAATAATCACTTAAGCTAGAATCACTTATTTTATAAGCTGAATTGAAAATGACATAAACTAAAGAACACACGATTTGATGAGGCAGTTCCCCCGTCGTCCTCGCTTCGGGGTACGTCTGCCCTCAATTCTAAAATTAGAATTGAGATATATTGAATATATATCACCTGTTGGAATGAACAGTTTACACAAGAGTTGATAGACAATGATACAAACAATCTCAAATGATGTTGATGCTTGCTATCACTTCTTGCACCTTGATTCAAGATGAATCAAGCCCTTCAATTTGTTGTGAATGATCTCCGATTCCAGCCACCTTAATGAAAAACCTTCCGTTGTTCAAACCTTCGGCTCGGCTGATCTTAGACACCAACAAATCAAACCCGGAAAGTGTTCAACACTTCAACGCCCTCGCTACTAAACTGATGAACCTTCCGTTGATCAATTACCTTCGCACCTGCTTGAATGTTGAACGAACTATTCCATAGCAAAAGCCCTCAAAACCTTCTAGTCTTGATGGGTAAAACCCTCAAGGTTTTCTGCAAGAAACACCTGCCCCAATTTCCACCCGAACCGGATCTTCAATCAACGCGTTCGAACCTTATCACCCTTGAACAAGACACCAATCACAGCAAAAATGGTTGTGTGTATTTGAGGATTTGTGTGTTGTTTGAAGGATGAAGATGAAGAAATATGTTGCACCTATTTCACGTTTCTTGCCCTGACAATTTACTCAAGATTTCAATTGTTAGTTGTTAAAATTTAGCAAAACTCTATCTATAGTAATAACCAAAACAGTCAACTGAACAGAATTTTAAAACACAGCAAGAAAAACTGCACAGCGCGCGAACGGTCGACCATAGGGTCGGCGTGCGCTGACCCGTGGGGAATACTCAGCTCCATGCGCTGAGTGGCATGGTCGACGCATGTCTTCATGCGCTGATCCGTGGAAAATCAAAACACTCATGCGCCGACTGTACGGTCGACGCATTGCTTCCATGCGCTGAGCCGTGAGAAATGCCAGGCTTCATGCGCCGACTGTATGGTCGACTCACTGCTTAGAAACCTGCAAAAATAACAGTTTTTTCCATTTTGTGCATCCTGCCACATTCAGTTATGAGTCATATTAAGGTATAATGATTTAACAATGAAAAAGAGGTATAACATGTTGAAGTATTGCACGATGCTTCTAATTTGTCCAAGGTTGTGTTTTGTCATCATCGAAAACTCGAAGGCCTGTATTATGAGACAACTTGCCCTCACAAGATGAGTACCCTGAGGAGATGCCCCGTGCCTGTGCTTTTATCCCGCTGAGAGGGAACCAGACAGTCAAGTCTTTCAGAGTCTATCTTGACCCCTCGATTTTTGAGGACATCCACTTCAACAACTACGTGGATCACCGTCAGACGCGGTCATTTGATGATATATCGCTAAACTCCGAATGACTGACCTACTCGTTGATGGTCACTGCTCCTCATCTACCCGAGCGCGTCATGTGACAGTTCGGGTACACCCAATCCATCCCTAGACACCCTATTGTCTCTGCACCTCTGGCCTTGACTCGTATATAGATAGAGGTGATGTTTACTAATTATCAGATTCATCTGGTACTGGATGAGCCTCGGGCTACCATAGTTCTGAATGACTGGAGTTACGTCAACAGATACATCAGGTGGTTCTTCGGGGTCTCACATCCGTATAAGGTGTCGATTGCTTTAGGAGATCCACCGAGACCCGGTCATCAGGAGATTCTAGAGGAGGAGCAGGCTCAAATGGATCATACTTAGGATGTCTTGCCTCGTTGTCGTCGCATAGTGGAGATGACGCGAGTAGGCGTTGACGAGGGTATCTTCCCTGAGGGGTCTGCTGCCAGTCGAGTACTGGATGTCATTATTGCGGAGGTACATGAAGCACTTTTGTACCGCAAACATTTCACATGAAGTACTTTTGTACCGCAAACGTTGTCAGGCACACCTAGTAGTTATCTGTATTTATTTTGTTTCAGTATTGTAGTTTTTCCTGACATTGTTATTACATTTTGGTCTTAAGGCTTGTATCACATCCTATTACGATATTGTTACGTTATTTTGGTGTGTCTGTTATTTTATAATTCATTTGCAAACAAATACACAATGCATAATAAAAAAACTGTTCTGAATAACTTCAGAGATGTATCTCCGAAATTTTTTCGTAAATGCATCTCTAGACAAAATCAAATAGAAATGGGCTATGAGAGATATGCTGTGACCGTTTAAGGTTTAAATTATTCTAAAAACATATCTCTGAAATATTATTAAGCCCTGGAGTGCGCCCGAAGATATATCTCTAGAATCTGAGAGCATTAATGAGAAATCATATAGTGAAAAAGAAACTCATAGGATGGAATAAGAAATTTTTCTCTCTTAATTCATCGGGTTGAATAGGTCTGATGGTCTAAGAACCTTCTTCATAGTCATATTGACTTTTAAGTCTTACACAATATTAACATATAAAAAAAGTTATGTCATTGTTTCTAAAATCTTATCATTTTTATTGTTTATTTAACGCCTTTTTTATATTTTAAACAATAAATATTTATCTTTCAAGTTTCATTTTAAAAATGTTTTTTATATAAAAAGTTTAATATTTTTTCTTTACTTTGATATTTAAAGATAATATAATTTTTCTTAAACCAAACCAATTTAACCTTTTTAACAATGTTAGGCAAAATGCAATATTTTAAAATTTCCAATAAAACAATGTTTATTAAATAATAATCATCATTGAACTATTTATTAACTCATTTTTATTATTGAAAATATTTTCATTTATTTTCTAGAAAAAAAATATATACAATTACAACGTAATAAAAAAACACGAGGCCTAAAAATTGGGCTGGATTGCCGATAATTAGGGTTTAAGGCACCGCGTTCAAATAGAGAATCACAAATCGTTAGGGTTTTATTTCTCTCAGAAACCGCAAACTCAAAGAATAACAAGATTGCAATGGATTCCTTCTCCGCTCCGCCGAGTCGACCCTCCTCCCAATTATCCCCACAGGATATCAAAGATCAGTTGAAAAGCCAACTTGCCATGGAGTATGCTCAACAATTTCTTGAGGTATTCCATTTTTTTTCATCTATTGTTATAGATTAGTTGTTTAACCCACTCAATATCATACGATGATATAAGAGATAATAATGATTGGAGATGTATATAGTGAAAAGTGAATTAGAAGTTTGTTTAAATTGTTGATTTAATTATTTCAGTTTTCTCTTAGTATTGTGGCTGTGGTATGGCAGATAACCAAAATCCTGCCGTACCGGCCGCATTGCGGCGCCTTTATAGCTGATTATGTCGGAAAAATCCTCAATATCGGTAGATATTTACCATTGTGGCTAACTCAAAAGCAGCCATGCATATCCGCCATAGGGGTCTTGGTGCCGCTATTTGATAACACTGGTGCTCAATAGTTAAGATGATTGATTAGGAATTCTAACCTCAGTGGTAGCTTTTTTGGTATTTAATGATACTAAATAGTTTACCTGTTGCTACTGTCAGTGTAGATTTTGATAAAACTTGTGTATATATTAATTGAGATTGATGACAGTTCTTTCATCATATGAAAGAGAATCAGTTATTACATTTTATCATTCATGTGTTTCTTGTACATGAATTATTTGTGATGATAAGCACATGATATTTATTGCTTTCAAATATGAAAAGGCCTCTAAGTGCAATTGCTCTAGAGGTTTGCCACATTCACTTATACCTATAATTTCTTTCTTAAATTATCGGACAAATGAAGCATCTTAGTCAGGGTAAAATAGTCAGATTTTTCATACTTTTGGTGTGGTATGGTGATTTTCGGGATAAGACCTGATCAATATCATGCGATTGAGTAATGAATATGTTTGGTGTGTTTTTCTTGCTGCAATTGCATTTAAATTCCAATTGTCATTTTTTTTTGCAGACTGTGAGAGGAAAGTGTTTTGAGAAATGTATCACAAAACCAAGTTCGAGCCTCAGTGGGGGTGAAAGCAGTTGTATCTCTAGGTGTGTAGACCGATATATTGAGGCCACGGGCATAATTAGCAAAGCGTTATTTAGTGCTCAACAATGAAGTGGACAACTTCCCCCCGTAAATCAAGAAAGTTGCTCAAGTTTTGGGAATCATTTAATGGGTGTTTTAGATTGTGTGCTCATCTAGAAACAACTATGCATTCTATTTCATATGCCGGTTCGCCGTTATTATCAACTCTTTGCTTAATACTTGTACTTTGTTATAACTATTTTAAGTTTATGAATTGATCCCCTGTTAAGAGGCCTTTTAAGTTTAATCATTTCTGAAGTACTGTGTTTGTTGATAGAAGATAATTGAAGATCTTTAAGTTAAAGGAAGCTTAGGGTGCTCGGCAAAAAAGTCTTGCATTTATGTGACAGAGGTTGCACTATATAAGCTTACTGCTTATTGGATTGTGATTCACTCCAGTTGTTATAATGACTATGTCACACTCTCAAATAAATTATAACCATTCGATCAAATTAAAAGTTTAGACTATTGTCTCTAACTTTTCCACTTTATACTCACAACACATATTCAAATGGATTTAAGAAAAATTTCCTTCTCGCATCATGAGATATGTCAAAAATTGTACGAAGGTATACCTATGTTAATTGTATTTGAATGGTTGAATATTCATATCTTACCTTCACCTATGTTAATTGTATTTGAATGGGTGGATGTTTATATCTTACCTTCGGTAGTTTATGTCTAAAATCCTTATAACATTTCTCCTCAATAACTGTCTCAAAGTGTTTGAAGAATTGAATGTTATCAATGTTTGGTTTTACACAAGCTTTTTAAATTTGAATTTAAACTCTCGTTGAGTTGAGTAATTTGATTTCAAGGGTAAATGTTTCTTTTATATTACATGCTGCCCATTTTTCTTTGATATCATATATTGATTTCACCCATTTATTTTGCCAAACTTTTGCCATATAACATTCACATACTGCCCATTCAAGGGTAAATGTTATAAGGAAAAATGTTTCTTTTATATTTTAATCCCATTTACATACACTTCTTAAATAAGTCAAGAAATTATTTTCTTTTTCAATCCCATTCAACATTAATGGCCATGTGCATAACCCATGTTGAGTATCTAGTTGAATATTTAGCATCAACCCAGCTAATAAGTTAGCTATTGCTTGGTCTTGATCACTAAACAAAATTTGTAGAACATTCAATATGAAGTGTTGATTCGAACCACAGCTCTCCATTTTATAATCTGTGAGCTTCATTTGTAAAACTCTTTTGATTAAAAAAACTAAAGTATAAATAAAATATGTCTTCTACTTAAAAAAAATATATACTAAAAACCTATGGCCCTCCAATTAAAACTTGTGTTAGCGTGAAATGCAATTTGAAAAAATATACATAAGCTTTAAGGTTTGCAAGAAAGGCAAAAGTGGAAATGGAAGTTGTGATTTTAAACATTAGCTCCAAAACTTATTTTATTTATTTATTTATTTTTGAAAATTTGGTTCCTGACCTTATTTAAAACTAATATGGACTAGTCCCTATGAAATACCAAAATGCTAGGGTTTAGTTCAAGTTGGTCTCACCCATCTCAAACATTAGATATTTAGAATTTACAGACAAGTATTAAATCGTGTGCTCGTTTGAGTCATCTTTGGATGAACCAAAGCATATGTGCATCAATTTCTCTTGCAACAGGGCGGTGACTGGCTGCAAAAATCTTGAAAGCCATGTTTAGAAGTTGAAGATCAGTGCATGCACCAATTTTTTTAGCTTTAAAACAATGATATTTCATTAGTAGCACAAGTCAAATAAAATTCTTAATTAGAATTAAACACACAACAAAATCACACCAAACATCAAATTTGTGCCTGATATAAATGACTGATAATTTTTATAAATACACTTAATCTGAAATAGTTAAAATCAAATGTTCTCTTTGCTGATTTAGAAGACAACATTGTACAATAAAATGTCCTGTGTGATCTATTACCGCAAGGACTTCCTTACACTTAGAGAGAAAATCGAAAAAATCATTACAAAAGTTGCTTCTCTTTGACTTCAAGAATAGGAGGATCAACATCAATTCCCATATTTGCTGCAGTGCCTGCTATAATTCTCATAGCTGAATCGATAGTTGAGCAATTCAAGTCCGGCAACTTCTCGGAAGCAATTGTGCGCAACTGATCAATTGTGACTTTTCCTACCTTTTCTATCTTGGGGTCTTTGGAACCCTTTTCCACTCCTACACAACAGATCAGTATGAAAATGAATTTGAAACTTGAAGCATTGAATTCACTTATAAACAGAATATTATGTTTGAGGTAAAAACGCCTGATAGTGTACCGAACCAATAATCTTAACATATCTGACTCATTTTGTTTATCTAGATAAGTATGACAAAGCTAGTCTAATCATTCCAAGACTAAATCTAAGTTACAGAAGCACAAAACCCAGACATTTTAAGCTATTACGATCATTCATACACAAAGTGAATGGATGCAAAAACAATTTATACATATGCTTTTGATCTGTCAAATCAAATGTATGCTAAATGTCAATAGGAATGCCTAGCAATTTTAGTATAGCAAGAAAGTGATTTGGTTTGTGATTGACAAAATCAATTTAAATGTGTTTGGATTCACGTTAGAAAACCAAATCATGTTGGAAAACTACATCCAAGTTTGTTTCCAAATTTAAACAAACGTGAAAATAATGAAGCAACTATTTTGAGCTTTTGAGTTGACATAGTTTTTCAAGATAGACATCCAAACACATACTTAAGGAAGCACAAGACCATATAGCTTATTGGCTAGAATAACACTGTCGTTAACCAAGAATTCAAGTTCCATTGATCCTGAATCCTTAACTAACAACATATGAGACATGAAAGGGGGAAAGAAAACATAACTAAAGATTTTCTATTTTCATTTCCTATGAGTGTATTTTATTCAAAATCTACAAAATCCAGTATATTGCAGAACTTTCAGCTAATGCTTAATTACTGTTGCAGTGCTCAGTTGTCGTTTGCCAGTAACCGAACCTAGGAGCCTTTTGTCGACCCCATAGTGTCTCCTAGATCACCTTACAAGTTACAATCTATACAACACCAACACTTTATATTGAAGGCATGTGACCGACACACGTCAGTTACCAATACGGCCCGACAGTTGTGATTACATACAATCACTTCATTTTTTCTAATTATCACCGTTATCAGTGCCGGTGTCACATTTGTCTTCCGGCGTGTATGTGTTTTTCATATCTTCCAACCAGTGAGGGAAGAAGCTTGGTTACAAGGGATGCATTTGTGGGAAAGCCCAAAAGGTTGAATTATGAATTTGGCACACAATCTTAAACAAATTAAACCACGGAGACAGAGAATGGTATAACATAAAATAAAAAATGTATGAGATAATAACATACCAGCAGCCTTAAGCAGTAAAACAGAAGCAGGTGGGGTTTTCAATATGAAAGTAAAACTTTTGTCCTGCAAAAACAACATTGCATAAGGAAATGAAAAAAATACAAAGAAGAAATGAGAGAAAAAGAAAAGATAGTTACATCAAAGACAGTGATTTCAACGGGAATGACGTAACCGGGTTTATCAGCGGTTCTGGCATTGTAATCTTTACAGAAAGCCATAATATTAACACCCTTTGAACCAAGAGCCGGTCCAACCGGTGGAGCCGGCGTCGCCTTTCCGGCTTCAAGAGCCAGCTTTATCACTCCAACCACTGCAACAATACAGCACAACACAAAAATCTTCAAATTACATTGCAAATTTGCAACAGAACAGACAAATTCAAAATTAATTAATTAACTAGAAATTTACCTTTCTTTTCCTTGCCACCAGCAGGCTTTGGAGGAGCCATGGCAGTGATTTTGAAGCGTCGAGAATGAGTCATGGGAAGAGAAAGGGGGTTTTTGGTTCCAAGGGAACTGGGCTTTAAGGATAATTTAAGTGGTGTGGAAAACAGAGAAGAAGAGGAGGAAGAACAGAGTGGCGAAGTGGAGAAGAGAGTGGACGCCATTGAAATGAATCTCAAGCAAACTGGGAGAATTTTTTTTGGATAAAATGCGGTATCTATCTATCGGATTGCTTTTTAGTTTATACTTGAATAAATGTAAATATATTTTAAAAACAATCCAAGATGATTTTGTATGAAAATAAATATTTTATATAAAATTATTATTTTTTTATTTTTTATTTTTTGATAAATAATTGAATATATATATTAAATTAATTTTATCTTATAACTTTTGGAAAAAAAATAAATAAGGTATAGATAACAAAAACCAATAGAGTATGGAAAATAAAAACAAAATTAAAAAGTAAATTGTTAAAATATATATATATATATATATATATATATATATAGTTTTGAATTGGGCCGGTATCTGTCTCTCAGTCGGGCTGACTCAACCCAATATTACGTTAGGAAGGTCCAACAAGACCCAATCCCCTCATGCCAGACACACGTAATACTGTCGTCGGACAGACCACTACCTAGCACGGGGAGCTCCCACCCGGATTCCACGTGCCCCCTACGCGGGGACACATCATCAGGTAACTACCCCCTTCCGAAAGAACCGGTTAGCCCACCTTCCGAAGATCACGAGGCAATTGTACTAGGGCGAAAACCATGTGTTGGTCTTCTCTACGCCACGTAAGTCTTGGCAGTTGCTTGTGTTGGGCCTGGTAATACAGCCCAATACAATGTTACCGTTGGCACTGCGCTGGAGGCACATTATAAATACCCTCTTTCACTAGAGGGTCAGGTATTCCATTCTAGACACCTAATCTCTCTGTACTTGCTTTTCTAAACTCTGTTACTCATTTAGGCATCGGAGTACCTTGCATGTACACCCCCTCCTCCTCTTTAACACCGATGAACACAGGAGCTCACGACATGTGGCAGACCACTGATTCCTTTCTGATCAGGTAAGATTAGTGGCTCTGTCTATGAGAACCCTTCACTCCCCCGTTCTTTCTCCTATACAAGCGTATAAACTCAAAAACCAAAGCAACATCCAACTTTCGTTTGATCATGGCCAGCCCACGCAACGACAACGCTCCGGAAACCGCATTCGTCCCCTTCACCAACGGTGACGGCCACGATCCCAATGTGACAAATCACGTCGAGGAGGGCGATTCAAGGGACGGGAATACCGCCTCTTCCTCCTCGGAAGACGCGACCTTTAACGCCGCCCACCGCTTTGATAACCTGACTATCTACCAGCCGATCCTGGTGCCACCCAGCGCCGACCCCACCATGGTGGCCCTGTTCGCTGCGATAAACCAGACCAACCTGATGATCTTCCAGCAAAATGAGCGTGTAAGTAGAGATGCACCTAAGAGGGGGTGGGTGAATTAGGTACTCAAAATCTTTTTCCGATCTTTATGTAGATTTCTTGTTTTACTTTCCTAAAATATACTAAGTGTTGAATGCAGTAAAAGCAGAAAGTAAAGAGACATGGAGATGTATCCTGGTTCCCCTCACAGCCCGAGAGTACTCCAGTCCCCTTTCAACATGAAAGATATTTCTCAATATTGTTAGATCCTAAGACAAGACGTCTACCAAGTCTTTCTTATACAGACTCTAACCGATCAAAACACCAAGAACAATCCTCTTGGATTTTTATCACTAAGTCCAATGAGAACAATCCTCTCAAAATGGACCTCTTTCTTCCAACAATCCTAGACAGCAAGGTTACAACCTTACAAACTTATTTCCAACAATCCTGGAAAAATAAGATGTATTCAAAGAACAAATAGTTCTGATTTGAGTAGTTTGCAGTAGTATTGATCCTTTTACCTTTTAGCTTTACCTCATTAGTGACTTCGTCTTCTATCAAGCACTCATCTTTTGTGAACTTGATTTTGAATCCTTTGTCACATAGTTGGCTTATGCTAAGCAAGTTGTGCTTTAGTCCTTCAACATAAAGTACATCTTCAATAGATGTGAAAGGTGGTGATCCAACTTTGCCTATGCCAAGAACCTTCCCTTTGTTATTGTCACCATAGCTAACATAACCCTTGGACTTAAGCTTTAGATTTGAAAATTTGTTGAAGTCACCAGTCATAAGCTTCAAACAACCACTATCAAGATGCCAAAGATTTGAAGTGGTCTTCAAGCAAACCTAAAAAACAAGTTATTTCTTGTTAGGTACCCAAGTTGCTTTGGGTCCTTCATAATTAGTGCATTTCTTAACCCACACATAATGCCTTCTTGCTATACTAAAGTTTCTAACATAGCATGCATTAGGTGTATGACCAATAATACCACAATAAAAACAAGTAGGTACAAATTACTCTTATATCTAGGAACGAAAGATTTCTTTTTCACAATCTTTTTCTTCTTATGATGACGATTGATCAGTGCATTTTGATGCACCTTTCTCTATGTTTAGACTTAGGCATTTCTATAGTTTAATTTCCTATTTTATGATGTTTTTACAATTCAATTTATTTTCAGCTTTATTTGATTTTTGTTTGTTATTTTTCAGCATTAGCAGTTTTCAATAAAAAATTCATAACTGGAACTACGGGAATCGGATCGAGGCGTTTTACCAGTCGTTGGAAAGCTAAGGAAAAGATCTATAATTTCATGTTGCTTGAAGAAGCTGATTCGGATTGCTTGAGTCTTGAATAATTCGTTGAAGTTTCTGACTTGTGATAATGCAGTTGTTTTTCCCTTTTGGGCCTAGTTTAGGTTTCCGACCCTGTTGAGTGTGTAATGCAAACCTTATTCTATTTATAAGGTTGCTACTGCGATGAAAAACGGCTACCCTAGTTTATTTCCGAAATTACTTTTGCTTTTCATAATTTTCATGGCGAACTAATCCTGAGGGAAAATCTGCCGGTTTCGGATCCCGTAACTCTATGAGGTTTAATTCAATTTCGATTCAATTTAATTCTGTTCCAATTCATTTTATAACTTAGTTTGCTTAATTCATTATTATAAGATTAATTGGATTTAATTCGATCGATCAATGTTCGTTGACTTAATCGCGGATTAACGTAGCTTTTTCGTTAGTTTGCGCCATCTTTAACCGTCTGCTTAATTCGATAATTAGGAATATAAATCGTGCGATATTTTCGACACTTGTTCGTTAATATTGCAATCGAATAGGAATTGTAACCGCTTGGGAATCAGAATTGTAATGACCGATGATAAGTTGGGAGTCGAACCAATAGATTTACCTGTTTTAATCACTTATTTCAAAAATCACTTATTTTTACCGTTTACTTTCTTAATCGAATCCTAATCAAACAACCCCCCCCAAATAGTTTCAATTGGCTATTACATAAATAAGAATCCTTGTGAATCGATATCCGAGTTACTGTCGTTGTTACTACGTTTTTCAAACCACTCGGTTTTGATTCGCGCGCGACCGCGAATCAAAGATGCACAACTTTAGGCTTGCTCACTTTCTCTTTAGAAGTTTGGTCACTAGCCTTAAAAAATATTGTTTTGCTAGAACTTGGTTTAGAAAACTTAGAATACCCAAGTCCACTTTTATCCTTAGAAAATTTTTGTTGACTAAGGACCCATTCTAAACCAATTTGCCCTTTTTCATATCTAAAGTTGAACAATTTAGAAAGAAAGTAATTCACAATTTTTGCATACAAAGTTTTGTTTTTCTTCACTAATAACCTTTTGCTTTTCATTCTTCTCAATTTTTTCAATATTATTCACTTTTTATTTCTAGAGATGATATTTGTTTCTTTTGTGAAGATATGGTTTTACACAAAACTTTGCATTCATTTAAGAGTTCATTTATCGCTTCTTGAGCATCATTATCATAAAGTGAAAAAGAAGTACTAACCTCATCATTTTCGTCGTCATAGTGATGAGAAGCCATCAATGCTAAGTTTTCACTTTCATCACTATCTGATTCGAATGATGAACTTATGTCGTTGCCTTCCCATGCAACATAAGCCTTCTTATTCTTTGTCTCCTTCTTGCCTTTGAATCGATTTTTCCTTCGAAATTTTTGGACAATCCGGTTTAATGTGACCTTGCTTTCCACATTCATAGCATGTGACATCTTGATTTGATGTGGAAGCCTCCCTTTTCTTGAAGTGTTTCTTCCTTTTTGCATAGCCGAAGGGTTTGTCATTTTTGTTGAAGAATTTTCCAAGTCTCTTGACTAGAAGCATAAAATTTTCATCTTCCTCTGATGCATCATTGTCTGGTCCTTTTTTCGAGTATACCTTTAATTCGATTCCTTTATACTTTTTCTCTTGATGTTCATGCTTATCAAGGCGTCCAAGTTCCAACTCGTGTTCTTGAAGTTTTCTAAAAAGTGATGCGGAAGTCATTATTGAGAGACTCTTCTTCTCCGATATTTCCGTAACTTTGGGTTGCCAATCTCTTATTAAAGATATTAATACTTTAAAATTTAGTTCATCATTGGAGAATGTCTTACCTAATGTAATCAAATGGTTGGTCAAGTGAACAAATCTTTTCTAGAGAGCAACAATGGATTCTCCTGGCAGCATATGAAACATTTCATACTCATGACTTAGTGTGTTCAGCCTTGATCTTTTAACCTCGACGGTTCCTTCTTGAGTCTCCACCAAAGTATCCCAAATTTCCTTAGCCGATTTGCATTGTGAGATTCAGAAGAATTCATCCATACTTAAAGCGCTCTGTAGAACATTGATAACTTTCTTCTCATTTAGAGCTCTCTTTTTATCATCATCGTCTCAAGCACTTTGAATATTTGGAGTACCAATATCGTTTACAACATTAATTGGTATATGAGGGTCAGTTTCAACAGTTTCGCATATGCCTTCTCCTTGTGCCTCTAGATGTGCTTTCATGCAAATTTTCTAGAAGTCGAAATATTCACCAGAGAACAGAAGAGTGTCTCAACTGCAAAAAACACCCGGCGAAAAATAGAAGATTCGCCACCTTTCGTTATTGATCCCAAAGAGAGGGAAAGGAAACGATCGGAAAAACCTAACGAAAAAGGGAAAGACAAGGTCATCACAACCAAGTCCTGGATTCGGGAGTCGGTTACG